GACAGTTACCAGAGGCTGGGAAGGAGCATGGATAAAGTGGGGATGGTTAATGGGTACAAAAATATAGTTAGATAAAATGAACAATATTTGATAGCACAAAGTAACTATAATCGAGAGTGATACTGGAAAATTCCTAACACAAAGAAATGTTAAGCTGGGCGTGGTGGCTCACGCCTGTAATCCTAGCACTCTGGGAGGCCAAGGCAGGAGGATCGCTTGAGGTCAGCAGTTTGAGGTTGCTATGAGCTAGGCTGACACCATGGCACTCTAGCCCAGGCAACAGAGCAAGACTCTGTCTCAAAAAAAAAGAAAAGAAATATTAAATGCCTTAAGTGATGGATACCCCAATTACCCTGATTTGATAAATTTACATTGTATACCTGCATCAAATCATACGTACCCTATAAAGACATACAACTATTATGTATCCGTAATAACTAAAAAGAAAATAAAATAGGGTGGACAGAGAGAAGAGACATTTGGTTAGACAAAAGATATGAGGAATTAAGCTCAGGTGGATGTCTAGTAAAGAATGTTCCAGACAGAAAGAACAGCAAGTACAAAGCCAAGAGATAGGAGCATGCTTAATATGTTCAAGGAACAGCAAGAAGGCCAACAAAGCTAGATAAAAGAGAGCAAAGGGAGCAGTGGTGCAATGTAAAGTAAGAGAGGAAGTAATAGGGCAGATAATGTAAAACTGTGTAGGCCATCGCACAGCTTTGGATTACGGGAGGAAACGGAATGTGATCCATTTTCTGTATGTAAAAGGAGAGGAAGACTGAGACTACAGAAATCTAAAAGGATGCTACTGAAATAACACAAAAGGATGATGATGACAGACCTGATGATAAAATTGGGTATTTTGGAAATAGATCTGATGAAACTTACAGATAGAACAGGAATGCAATATATAAAAGTAAAGGATGACACTAAAGTTTCTCATCTTAGAAACTGGGAAGAAGTTTCTCCTATTAAGTAGGACAGGGAAGACTGCAGAAGGGAGAGGTTTAAACATCCAAGGGAACGATAAAATGGGTTCTTTAGAGAGCATGAGTCCTGAGGCTTCTTTCAATTCTAGGATTTCTAGAGATCTATATACCCCATAAAAAAATAAGTTTTGGTTGGGCACGGTGGCTCAATATCCTGTCAGGTAGCTTGGAATCTGAGCACTCTGGGAGGCGAAGGCAGAAGGATTGTTTGAGGCCAGAAGTTTGAGACCAGCCTAGACAACACAGGTAGACCCCCTCTCTACAATAAATAAAAAATTAGCTGGGCATGGTGGCACATGACTGATCCCATCCACTCGGGAGAGTGAAGTGGGAGGATCACTTGAGCCCAGAAGTCCGAGATTACAATGAGCTATGATTGTACCACTGTACTCCAGCCTGGGCAAAAGATCAAGACCATGTCTCTTAAAAAAAAAAAAAAATTAAGAAATTTTTATCAAGAGCTACTAAAATTAAATCCTAAATGGATTTAGATGTTGTAGAAATGTTTAGCTAAGCTTATTTTGAACGATTGTCAGGAAGGTAAAATGTCAAGTCACATTTCCAGCAAATACTTTGTTATTACTTAGTTTAATTGTATTGTGTCTGCAGATTATTTACATACCAGCCACTGCTGTCCATAAACAAATACATGATTTTTGGCAATGTCAACTCTATCCCATGCCAATGTAAGGATAAGCTGGTCAAATGCAGATGCATTAGTACCTAAACAAATAAAGAAAATAGTTGACAAGTTCAAATAATTTATCTCCATTAAAATGTAAACATTTTTGACATCTCCCCGCTACCTTTCAATTAACATACATAGCTGGTGTCAGCCACCATTCAGAAGCAGCCTGCCTTAGAAAGATAAGATTCACTTGAGGGGTGAGGACTTTAACTTTCTAACTATAGAAACAACACAGCCTCATGATCACTGCAAACAATTCGAAATCCAGAAAAGTGAGAAAACAAAGATGATCTGTTTCTATCAGTGAGACAGTACTGACTGGTAGGATTTTGAAAATATCCTGTCAGGTGCTTTTCTGTGTATATATAAGCTCATATATATATTAATATTTTTAATTATTTATTCAAAAATGGGGTCATACTGTAAGTGTCAGTAGTAGCTTGCTTTATGTATCTTAATATCAAAACTCATTTTTCCTTATAAGTATATACAGATCTGCCTTATATACATTAATACCTTTTAAAGGTGAGCCACGATTAATAAATACTCCAACTGGTGGATATCAGGTTATTTTGAATTTTTTGCTGAGTATATTTTTGTGTACATGCTTGATTATTTAAATAAGATGATCTTCCAGAAGCCAAATTGCTGGGTACAAGGATATACTTTAAGACTTTAAGATATACTCCCAAAATACATTTCAGAAAGCTTATACCATCTACCAGAGGTATAAGAATACCCATTTCTCCATGTGCTGGGGATGGGGAGGAAGGAGCTGCTTCTTTTCTTAAATTTATTTTTACTTTATTACTGTAACATTGACCATCTTTCTACATTTTCTCTAAGCATTTGGATTCTTCTGCTAACATCAAATACATAAATTCCGACTCATTTTCCCACGAAGTATTCATCTTATTAATTTGTAATAGTTCTTTGTGATTTCCTCCACTTCAACATTTCTGTTCCTCAGTTTCCTCAGTTATAAAATTAGTAAAGTAACAGGAAATCTGCCTCTTAGGGCTGTAATAGGGATAAAATGAGATAAACAATGTAAACCACTTAAGCACAGCGGCTTGTACCCAGAAAGTCTATGGCAAACACTACATGTATACAATACTCTCTTTTTATTTTTATGCTATCTCATTGATTTTTTTTTTCCTTTATAGTTTCTGAGTTTCCTATCACTTATGATCTCTTGATCCCAAGATGATATAAATATATTTTATTAGAGTATTTTTAAATGCTTGATATATTGGCAATTTGTTATGGTATAATATTTGGGAAATTCTGGTAAATAACAAAACAGTGACTTCTTGATGAGCTCTTGCAACAATATTGCATACTTTGACTTTCAGGTACCCAGATGGGACACTATTTAGTTTCTAATTTTTGAAAAGATTTTTCACTGTAATGTTGTTCTATCAGTTGGATGTCTTTGGTGAAATACCAAGAAGAAAACACTTCGATGTGTATGTACGTCAATCCTTTAGTCCTAAAAGATACCACTAATTTTCCAAGTTTCCCCGCAGAATGAAAACAGCATGTTTAAAAATCCTATCTTTAATATCTATTAACTAATACCTCATAACCTTTAAACACTTATTTTTGTTTTATATGTGTCTGATTCATTCTTAATGGGATAATTAGGTCTGGTGGCATAAACTTTGCTAAAAACTTTTTAAAAAATTCAACAATATTAAAACAAAAGTCAACTTATTGCTGAAGAAAGCCAACACTGTGTCTTTCACAAAGAAAAACTATAGAAAAATTCACTTTCCAAGCATTTAGCCAAATTAAAAAGTCCTATCTTATACAAATATAAATAGGCTATAAATTAAAGAACTTATGAATATAGTTTTAAAAAGCTTACCTTTTAGCAATGCAGTAAGTATTGCTACATCTATATCTTGATGTTCATCTGATCCAATGTGGAAAACAGTGATCTATTTAAAGATTAATTCACAATATTATGCCTTTACATTTTTAAAGCAAAGGGATTAGAAAGTAATTTCAAACTATATGGGGGCAATATACATATACATATTTATATACACATTATATACATATATGTGTGTGTATGTATGTATGTATCTAGGGAGGGTCAGATAACTTTATTTCGGCCAAGAAACCAGAAAATTAGAAGACTTCAGCATTTACCAAATAAAATGGAGAGTATACCAAAAATATTTGGTTTCATATTATATTCCTATTTTTGACCTATGTTATGTCCCTTACTAGTAAGCAATTTAAGGGCTGAGGCTATAAATTAGTAAATAAATCCTGCTGTTCCTTCCACAGAGTGGAACATTATTTCAAATAATACGTGTATTCTTGAACAAAAAATGTTTGTTTTGTTCAATCCCTTTATTGCAATTCCCTTTAAATTACTTGAAACATAATACTATTTTAGAAGTTTTTATTTAATAAAAGTTTTCATAAAGTAAAAGATTATAACCCCAATACAAATTTTTCAACAAACTTCATTTCATAGTAAATAAAAACTTCCAATGGAAGAAGACAGCAAAGCAAATCATGTTATCACCTATTTATAGGCCTGCTAAAAAATTTTCTCTCTGAAAACTTAAGCCCATGTTTACATGACTGAAACTAAGCAGCACAAATCTTTAACTTAATAGGCTTAAGTGCTTACTCAGAATAAAACTATTAAAGATTTTTTTCCAAATATTTCATTAGAAAAACCATTAACAACTCTTTACCAATTCTTCCTTGATACTGGACATAATCTGTTGAGACTTAGGTATAAAACTTTTCCTAAAACAGAAGTGCATATATACTGTCTTAATACCATATAAAGAATTATAGGCCTCCTTCTATGATACCTCTCAGCTTGAAAAGACCAGTAAGTGACAGCTTTACATAGTTAAAAGAAAATTTAGAGTTTAAAATCTAAATTAAAAACAAAAGTATTACCCCAGTTTCGAATGTGCTTTGAAAAAAATAAAAAGACTTATTCTGCAGAAATCTACTTACAAGCTCCTTTCTTTTCATGCACTCCATCAAGGTTTGAAATAAATGAACTGCTTCACTCTGGCCAAAGTTAAATGTTTTTTTGATGGTTGAAATAATATCAGGCTCTGCTGCATCAGGAAGATTCCTGAAATAAGAGGAAATATAATTTAATTCACTGATTTCATCTTCCATTATTTACAGAATATATATGAAGGTAGATCCATGCAAGAACTTTGGAGATAATTGTATTAATACCAAATACTTGACCTTGGGAGAAATTATTTTCTCCTTCATGAGACTGCCACTATAAGTCTTAAAAGGAAAAAAATGGAATGGAGTGATTTTTCTCTTTGAATTACTTTATGAATTTTTTTTAATAAGCATGTGTTGCAATATCAGTAACTCACATTTCTTAAGATATTCTATAAAAATAACTAAGATATTATAATATAGTATTTCACCAAGATGTCTTAAACATAAGCATTCACATTTTTAGTTCTTTTCTGAATAGGTAATATATTTACATGGCTCAAAAAATATAGTAGAAATATAAAATACATTGTATAATATATACAATTAACTTGTGTAACTTTCCAAGATCTCTTTCTGTATACACAATTATCCCCTCTCCTTTTATTCTACATAAAAAGTGGCACAATGTACATGCTGCTGAACATCTTCTTTTTCCCAAGTACATATTTTGGTAATCTTCCCCAAATCCAGTACACAGATACCATCCTTTTATTCAGCTATAAATTATTCCATTGTGTAGATATACCATAACTTATTTATCTAGTCCCCTTCTAATGTTCTACTTTGTTCCAATCTCTTACAACAACCCTTTAATGAGTACGGTATACATACATTATTTTACAGATGTACATCTTTAGGAACACGTCTCAGAAATGGAACTACTTGGTCAAAAGGCAAGTGCCTCTGTACGTGTGATACATCTTGCAAAACTGTTTTCTATGAAGATGGTTATATTTTAATTCATTCCAATAATGTATGAGACAGGTTATTTCCTCAAATTTTAACAAAGTATTGTATTAAACTTGAAATTTTCATGTTCATAAAACATAGAAAGGAATCCAACACTGTATTCTAAAAACCACAAGCCTCTTTAATAAAATTATTAAAAATCTGTTACACTCATACACACTTACCCTCCTTCTTCTGTTTGTTTATGAATATATGCCAGAAGATCTGCAGCTCTGCCTGTTCCTTCACATACAACTACTGGAACAGGGGGACTTTCCTGAAGGTATTCTAGAACTGTGAGGATAACATTTGGCCCACCCTCAAATATAAGTGCCACCACGGGAACACCTTGGCCAATTCCTAAAAAAGGCAAAAGTTTAATTTAAAAATTATTTCCTTTACTTTTCTATTAAATTTCTTTTTCTTCTATAGTTTTTCTTCTTTTTTTTCCACCTGGTTCATTGTGTACATAAGAAATTATTTCATCCTGAGGCAAATTCCTCTCCAGGAAAAAAAAATTAGGCAAAATTCAGTAATCTAATTTCATTTTTTACTAAATAAAACAATTAAAATTAAAAAGTCAAAACATAGTTTCTAAGATTGTATTGATACCAATTTAAGCACTCAATATGATACCAGTCTCAAATAAATAAATTAAATAATGAATATATTACCTTATCACTAATTCAAAGGCTGTTCGAAATGACAAAATTAGAAAATCTAATATATAATTTAACACACATATCAGAGACTTCATATATTCACTGAAAAGTAAAAATTATTTTCTATATTTTACTAATTGATCTCTTGACAAGAAATTTAACACCAAGCTTGGTTTTTAGTTTCCTTTTTAATACTGTATTAAGTTAAACTTCTAACATACATCTGTTTTTATTCATTTTAAAATGTATACTTCTGGTTCCAAATGAGTTAAGACATTAATATAGAAATTAATGACAGAATCAGAATTACATAAACAGAACTGATTAGTGGCCAGGTGCACTGGCTCATGCCTATAATCCTAGCACTCCGGGAGGCCGAAGTGGGAGGATTGCTTGAGCTTGGGAGTTTGAGACCAGTCTCAGCAAGAGTAAGATCCCGTCTCTACTAAAAATAGAAAAATTAGCTGGGCGTGGTGGCATGTGCATGTAGTCCCAGCTACTCTGGAGACAGGAGGATCACTTGAGCCCAGGAGTTTGAGGTTGCTGTGAGCTAGGCTGACACCACGGCACTCTAGCCCAGGCGGCAGAGTGAGACTTTGTCTCAAAAAAAAAAAGAAACAAAGAAATTTAGTGAAGAATGCCAATTTTTGTTTCTATAATAACCTGCAGTGCAGTGAGAAAATACAAAACATTGGTAACTGTAGGATTATAAACCATTCCTAATTTACAGCAAAATCTCTGACTCTACCATAATCTGAATGCGCTGTTGTATAATTTTGAATTTCTATTTCACTCTGTCACAAAGCTCAACTTGTTGGTGTCCTAGAGTTACAAATTTCTTCTATGAGAAATAAAAATTTAGATGTTGACTCAGAAAGTTCAGCCATGGTTAGAAAGGAAAATCTATCCCAAGAATACCAACTTTTAAGACATACCTGACAAACAGTGATACCTACTCATTTTATAAACTTCAAGCAAATTGCTAATTTTTACTTTGTACTGTAAGTGGTTTTTTTTCCCCCCTTTTATCTTTCGATCTTGAATCTCATAGCAAGTACTAGACTATATTACACATTAAGAATATTTGTAAATTCTTCTGGCTGCAATGGGGTTACAATAACAACAGAGCTTCCCGTAAACCTTTTTGGCTTTGACCTTGATACCTGAGTACTATCTGGCCTGAGATTTTGTTTCCTAGGTCTTATTACTTTGTCTAACATTAGCCATTTTGGCTGTTTCATATGTTATCTTACTATTTAAGAAAAAGAGCATTTTAGGCCAGGTGCGGTGGCTCACACCTGTAATTCCAGCACTTTGGGAGGCTGAAGAGGGAGGATCACTTGAGGCCAGGAGTTCACAACCATCCTCAGCAACATAGTGAGACCCTATCTCTACAAAAAATTACAAAATTAGCTGGGTGTGGCTGCACATGCCAGTAGTCCCAGCTACTCAGGAGGCTGAGGCAGGAGGATAGCTTGAGCCCAAGAGTTTGAGGTTGTAGCGGGCTATGACGACACCACTGCACTCTAGCCTGGGGCAACAGAATGAGACCTTGTTGGAAGGAAGGAAGGGAAAGAAGGGCTGGCTTCAAAGACTATTCTACCTTTCTAGAATGCTGAAGGCTATTAATACAGCCCAGAATAATTTCAACAATAACAAATTTGTGAATTCTCTTACTAGCATGAATTCTTTGCTGATTAATAGTTTTTTCAAGTTCTCTCCTCAGTCTGACTTCTGCCCCATACTTTCCAACAGTGCCATCATCCACCAATATGAAATGGGAATGTAGATTATTCAGAACATTCAATTTGCTCAGGGGGTTCAATAAGGTTTGATAAGGAGCAACCACCTAAACAACAGCAAACGTAACAGTTAGTAGGCAGGAATAAATACAATATAATGCAAAATAAATTTTGAAATAATCTGTAAAGAGAAGAGGTAAAATTCTATTTTACATACATAAATAAATAGAAAATAACAAAGAATATATTAAAAAGCACAAGTTTTTAAGCAACTGAAAAAGATTTATCAATAATGGGTTGAACCACACAATTATATCTGGACCCTTGGGTTGAGGGGAAAAACTTAAGACTATCTTGACCCTTACTGCAGAATTATATATGTCATCATCACATGCAAAGGGAGAAGCAGTAAGTAAACAAATAGTGCAAAGAAACTATTATCAGGTTATTAAGTGAATAAACTACAAAATATAAAGGATACTGAAAAAAAGCAATCAAATATCACCTAGCTACTTTTCTAGCTATGAATAATCTTTAAAATCGATATTAGAAATTTAACAACACTTCAAAGTCAAAATTCAGTAATTATTTTAAAAGGTCTTGATAAATATCTGTAACCAGTTCATATGTCTATAACCTATTCAAACAAAACACTAGCATTTGACTCCTACTCTTAGTGACAATAAAATCAATTCTCAATGTCATGTAGTCATTAAAAATTTAATTACAAAGACTGGCATATATGGAAAACATGTGAGATAATTTTATACATAAAAGAGAAAAGACCAGGTGCAGTGGCTCACACCTGTAATCCTAGCACTCTGAGAGTCCAAGGTGGGAGGATTGCTTGAGGTCATGAGTTTGAGACCAGCCTGAGCAGGAGTGAGACCCCTATCTCTACATAAAATAGAAAAATTAGCCGGGTGTGGTGGGATGCACCTACAGTCCCAGCTACTTAGGAGGCAGGAGGATCGCTTGAGCCCAGGAGTGTGAAGTTGCAGTGAGCAATGACGATGCCACTGCACTCTAGCCCGGGCAACAGAGCGAGACCCTGTCTCAAAAAAACAAACAAAAAAAAAACAAACAAAAACAAAAATACACCATATGTATCAACACATAAGAGCAATTGTTTATATTATTAATATTTAAGAATTTGATTTATATTTATACATTATTTATATTTATGCATGCTCAAAAGGATCAGAAGAAAACCTCAGGAAAATACTTTTTAAAATTAATTTGAAAAGTATGGTGTTATCACAAATATTTTAAGCTGACTTACTCTATTCTTGCTATAATTTGTTTATACTTAAGTTCAAAAAACTTTAAAAATCATTCTTACATCTCTCCCAACAAGATCATTTCTGTTTTCAATCACTCCCCATGGAGCTATTCCAATAGTGCAAATCTTTCGAGATGATCTGGAAGCATGTTCCTTGAGGGCATCACCAACATGTTTTGCCACACCTATTCAGACAAAAGTTTATTCATTTTATTTGAAGGTTTTGTGTCCAGAATACTGTGCTCAATCTGTAACATTATAGTGTGTGATATATTTCGTTACATATATATAGAAGATACAAGGCAACAAGGTCCAAAGCCAAACTTAACAAAAGAATACACAAGGACCAAAAAGGAATAAAAAACAAAAACAAACCCCACAATATCAAATCACTACAACTGCCAGAAACACATATAAAACTAACTTTTACCATGTTGTTAGTCCTAGTCCTTTCTTGGATTTCTCCTATAAGTAACTGTAGTTTTTTGTTATTGCTCTACACATCATCTAGAAAAAATTAAGAATATGGCTCAGTGGAACATGACCATCAACAAAACAAACACATACACAACAAACAACTACAAAAGTCCATGTAAATAAAAAAAGAGAGAGAGAGAGAAAAATAGAAAAGGCCATTCCAAAGAGCATATAACTCCTCATTATCACTTCTTATGGGCTGAATTGTGTCCCCCAGAATTCATACGCTGAAACCTAACCCTCAATACCCCAAAATATGACAATAGGTGGAGACAGGGCCTTTAAATAGGTGATGATTTCGTTAAAATGAGGCCTTTGGGGCAGGGTACTAATCCAATCTGCCTGATGGCTTTCTAAGGAGGAATTTGAACACAAAAGAAGCCAAGGATACCTGCGCACAGAGGGAGGCAATGAGAGGACACAACAAGAAAGTGGCCATCTCTGCAAGTCAAGGAGAGAGGGCCCAGAAGAAATCAAACCTGCTGACACCTTACCTTGGCCTTTTAGCCTCCATAACCATGAGAAAAAAATTTCTGTTCTTTAAGCCACCCATGCTGTGGTATTTTGTTATGGCAGCCCTGGCAAACTCAATTTGATTTTCGTAATGCACTAGATCTCATCCCTCACTTGGATGATGGAAATAGCATCTTCATTGGTCTTTCAACTGCTACCTTGCCTACTTATGTTCCATTTTCAAAATATCATCCAAGTGATCTCTGCTCATGTTAAGTCTCTACTTAAAACCTTCCCTTCTCTTTCAGAGTAAAAGCCAAAGGGCTTATAATAGTCTACAAGGCCTTATGTGATACCTGATCTCACCATGCTTCCCCTCACCACACAACTTCTGACCTCATCATCTAGCTCTCTCTGCTTGTTCCACTCAAACTATACTGGACCTTTCTTACTAGTCTCCCAAATACTAGCTGTTCCCTCTCCTTTATACACTCTTGCCTAATGTTTTTCTTACATCTTGCTTCCTCATTTCCTTTCATCTCTCTTCAAATGTCACCATATCAGCTCTCCTTTACTATACACAAAATAGCAGCCCCTCCACCCACCTCACTTTCCCTTTTTATTTCACATGCCTGCATAACACTGATCATTTAACATAGTATACATTACTAAGTTATCGGTTTATTATCTACATCTCCCCCACTAGAATATAAGCTCCATGAAGTAAATATCTTGTCCATTTTGTGTTATGATATATTCTCAGCAGCCTGAAAAACATCTGACACACAATGAGGCTCAAGAAATAGTTGTTGATAACAAAACAGATGTTTGCAAGCTGACTTAAATAAATATGTTTTACTTTAGATGTTAAAATTAATTTTCCCTCGTTTCCACCTGTACACGTGATAGGGAAGACTTGGAATGAAAGGCAGTAGCGTATTAAAAATTAATTTTTGAAAGCTACTTCTTACCATTGCTGGGGCAATGGATTGCCATTCTTATATTGATTTGCCAGTAGTCAGAAAGTAATAGGAATAACGGTTTACTCTAGAGTGAGCAACCTATTTTGTAAAAGGCTAAACAGAAAATTTTTTAAGCTTTATAGGGCATACAGTCTCTGTTGCAACTACTCATCTCTGCTGCTGTAGCAAAAAAATAGCCATAAACAAAATACATAAACAAATGAGTGTGGCTGTATTCCAATAAACCTTATTCACAAAAACAATGAAGGGGCTAGATTTGGTGCATGGGCTGCAGTTTGCCAACTCCTGCTTAAAAGCCTACATGACAACCTAACAGGTTCAGTTATTATTTTTACCTAGGAACTATGGATTTAACAGAAGAGTTAAATATATCTGTATTCATTGTTGAGTATTATTTCAAATATCTAACTGATACTATGAAAAATTTACAAACATGCTAAATAAAATTGGTATAATCACCACAATACCTGTGTTTACTCCTCCAGTTAAAATCCAGGCTCCGGTTGTAACTGCAGCTTTAATGAGACCCTTTCCAAGCAACTGCTTAACTCGCGGGTGAAGCTCAAATTTCTGCATGCCCCCATGTACAGAGATAACAAGTTTGGGTAATTCCATTTGCCATTCTTTAAGCAGAAGTTGCAGAATGACTTCAGGTTTGGTGTCATATGATAGCCTTACATACTAAAAAAGATTATAAAAGAACAAAATAATTGAATATGTTCACATGTTTCATAATACAACATATATGACTTTAGAAAACTTTTATATGAATATAAAAACAAATTTCATGGGCTACTTTCAATATATTTATACTCTAAGGAACAAGCAATAGCAAATGATTTTGAAGTTGAAAAAATCATTCTGTGAGATCTACAGTAGTGGAACTGTAACTTTTAAACATTTAAGACACAAATATTACTCTTTCTGTTTATACTTGATTACCATTAATCCAATTTACAAATCCATCCACAGTATTTACTGATTGTTTAACTATGAGTTCACAGCGAGTGAAAGGCATTAAGACTGGCTAAGGTGCTGGAAAAAGAAGAACTGTGGGGGGGGGATATGGAGATTTCTAAGACTCTTGCTAAGAGAGGCAAATACTGAATTATCTGTTTGAAAGTTTTGTCAAAAATCTAGTGACTAGATTCTAGTCCAAATCAAACACCGTATGTTCTCACTAATAAGTGCGAGCTAAACAGTGGGTACTCACAGGCACAAAGAAATATGAAGGATATTGGAAACCAGAAAGGGGGGAGGTAGGGCAGTGGATGAGGGACAAAAACTTACCTGCTGGGTACAATGAACACTATTCTGGGGTATGGCACACCAGAAGCCCTGACTTAAGCATTATACAAGGTATCCAGGTAACAAAA